GGAGGGAATTGTGGGAAGGCACTCACCTGATTTAGCCTGCATCCCCTCTACGGAGCGACTGGGTTACCAGCCCAAGTGACAGCAGCATCCAGGATCTTACCCAAACCCTGAGTCAGGCCAGCTAGTCTGGTTTGAAAGCACCACTTAAGTGGAGTGAGAGGGTTTGTATGTGGATAGGAGTGGGAAGCAGTGAGAGGCAACTGGGCAGCCTTAGCGTGGGGGCACCTCCAGGGTACGTGCTATAAAGTGCTGAGCACTTAATAAATAGTCATAATTGTATAATTAGTGAATTTGCCTTGGGCCCCGTTCCTTTTGCAGATGCACTTACATAGTTTGTATTCTACTCTGGAAATAGATTTTACATCACTATGCCAGTTCCTCCCTCGGGTATGATTTATGACCTTACATTCTCATTCTGTTTGTTTTTTAGCTTTTGGTTAAGTCCTTTTATTCCCCCTTCCCTCCTCTCATCCCAGGGTCTCTAGCCATTCTTCAAGTTGTCTTTATCAGTCAGTCCTTTAACTCAAAGTGAGTCATCTCAGAGGATATAGCCAGAACCAATCCATTGGTTCAGCATCCCAAGGAAAGTGGATTGTTTCATCTGGCTTTACTTAGATTAGAAAGGAAGGAGAAATTTGCAGCTGAAGCCTACTGTCTGCTAATCCGCATAAGGAAACTGAACTGCAGTGTTAGCAAGCTGTTTCATTATCAAGCCCAATTTACCTTCTTGTTCCTTGGAGAAAAGTTCATGGTTCATGGGAGAAGTCAGGGTGGAAAGGGTCTGTGATGCTTGCTCAGCTGATAGCCATTGGCAATCCAAGTTATACAACAGATTTTGAGACCGCTGCTCTGCAAAACTGAGCAGTTTTGGGTCACAACATTTTGTGTGAACCTTCTTGGTTTTGGATTCAGCCAGACTCAAAACAAAACACAATTGTCGGTCAGCTCTGGATTGAAACCATGCAGAACCGAGAATCCATCCATGGCTTCCAAATGAAGCCAAAACCCCGCCTAGGCTCACTTCACTAGGTGCCAGGAAATGTTTCTTACAACCTGGGCAATGTTTTCTGTTTCCTCAGGAAAGTTTCTTTTAGATCAATGTCAAGCACAGATTCTTCCAGGGTACAGAAAGAAGTCTAATGTTCTGCACTTACCCGCTTTCCAAAAGGGTGTGGGATTTCGCTATAAGTTCATCAAAATTCCACGCAGAGTATGTTAGAGTGAAAACTATGGGACCATAGCGAAGTGATTTAAAGCTAATACCAACTAGGGATATAAAATCCCAATCAATCAGTTAACTTGTTAAATGTTAGATTAATAGAACGTTTAAATGGTTAGCCAGCTAAGCGGGATCCCAGGTGGGAAACTGCTCCAGCCTGGCTAGAGCAGCCCGCAGCTCATAGGGCTTCCACCTCCAGCCCTGCGCTGGGGCTGAGGCTGCTGCTGGCTCCTGGCCCCACGTCGAAGTTGGGGCTGCTGCCTGCTCCCAGCTCCAGCACTGGGGCAGCCCTCCATTCATGGCAGGCTGCTCCCAGGCACCAGTTAACCATTGTCGTAAGCATCATCTGGTAAGGGTGATACTTTTTAGGGATGTTAAAATATCGGTTAATTGAATAGTCGATTAACCTTATGAATTCTTATCGATTGTTGGGGCAGGGGCGGCAGCCAGTGCGCTCTGTATCAGAGGCAGCAGCGCAGGGTGGCAGGCAGGAGCTGGTCCACGAGGGGAGCCAATTTAAAAACCAGCTCCCATCATGAACCAGCTGCCTGTTGCCCTGCACTGCTACCTCTGATAAAGAGGCAGCAGCGCAGAGTGGCAGTAGCCCCAGTCTGGGGGAGGTCTGAGCTCTCAGACCTGGCACAAGCCAAAATTGAGCCAGGCTGCCTATCTGCCCATCTTAAATGCAGAGCCACACCAGGGGTAGGTCCCGGACCTGCCAAAAGCCAGCCTGCTAAAAAATGTAGTGGCAAGGGGAGAGAGGAGGGAAATGCGTGTAGCCTATAGCATTAACCGATAACCTTTTGCTTATCAGTTAATTGGTTAATCGACTACACTATTACATTCCTAATACTTACTGGGTAACCAAATACCCATTCACATCATGACAGGAATGTGCACATAGGTGCGGATGGGAGAACTCTACCTAAGGGGGTTTGACCTCATCATGCAATTCACATGTCTCACCGATCATAGGAAGTGTCAGCTCGGAAAAATGGCTGCTTTCTTCCAACCGGGCAATTGCAAAATATACAAAAGCTTCAGAAGGATAGCTGAGTTAGTCTGTAACTGGAAACATTTAAAAAACAACAAATAGTCTCGCAGCACCTTAAAGAAAAGAAAAAATAGGAAAAAAATAGGGAATTGGATTGTTCAAGTTACAAGAGGCCGATAAAAACAATTTGCACCTTTTTTATTTCCCCCTCCTTTTCCTTCCCTCCCTCTCCTTCCCCTCCCGCCTTCCCTTATTTATTCTTGGATCTGGGCTTCAGTCATCTGAAGAAGTGGGTTGTACCCACAAAAGCTCATGATACCATCTTCATGCAAAATACGCAGGGAGAATTCCCCTCAAAATGGAATGTGAAAGGGGAGAGCATTCCCTTCATGGGCTGCAGCGTTGGAGCAGTAAACAGAGACATTTTCTCCAAAGCAGATTTGTGTGATACTGGCCATACTACAATGTGTCTTTCACACCTAATGTATTTCAGATGATGCATAGAGGGTGGGGGCAGATGTGAGGAAGCTTGGGATTTAAAAGGAATGGCTTGTTGCATATTGTCTCATGGCCCAGTTGCCTGTGAGGTTCATTTCCTCTGACAGTGATTTCCATGTAATAAATCGCTCTTTTACTTCATTTCCACAGGCCCTCCAGGAAGGCGGGGAAAGCCTGGACGAAGAGGAGAACCTGGTAAGACTCATATTTCCTCCTGAGGAGTGTGGTGCCCGCAGGTGATCACTGGACTAGTGCTTAAAAGTACTTGAACTGTTTGAGAGAGATACTAGCCACATTTATCATATCCCAGGAGATGTCCCATCTCCCATGCCCAAGAGGTTATCTGTTGATGTGAAAACCCTCCAGCTCTATTCTTACCTAGCCACAGTGACTTAAAGGGGCACTGCCACATTCAGTGCACAGGTGTGTCTGTGTATAATTTATCAGACTGCTATTTCTTCCTTTTGCCATGTATGCCAAGAAAGTCAGGACCTGGTGAAGGGAGGTAGGCATTAGAACAGTTATAGCAGGTATTAATACAGACAGAAATATAAAAGGCACATACACCACGTCTCAGGAACTGTGCACTGGCCTGTTCTGTTAGGATTACTTATACATAACACACCCTGTGTAGTCTATTAAAACACGCCCAGACTTGGAGTCAGGAATGGGTGAATTCTGAGCCTAACTTCTTGTGTTGGTTTTGAGGGCACAAATCCTTGAGTTTCACCCATAGTCTTTACCTGAGCTAGCTAACTCATGTAAAAACTACAAACTTCATCTTTTGCTAAGATTTCCTCTTGTGTTAGTGACCATATTTTAGCTAACTTGAGTTAAGAATACACTGATCTGATTTGTGAAGATTCCTTTTCTGCCACTCTTGTGAAATGGGGCTAAGGCTACTTCTATATCAGCTTCAAAAGGGTATTCTTTGCTCTATGCTTTGAAGCTACAAGGTACTACAGAAGTAGAATGGAGCATGGTTAGTGCAGGAAGGTGAAGAGCAACATGGAGTTTGTGAACATTTAAACAAATTTTAAAATGGCGCATGAAATTTTGGGGTCCCCAACCTTAACGGTGCCCTTTTAATTTGGTCTAAGCAAATGTGGTAGTGCAAATATTTATTTTTAATTAGCAATGGTGCTTCTGTTTGTTTATTAATTTTTTTTTAACTAGAAATGTTTGCTGTGCCTTGGAAATAGCTGCATTTCAAGGGCAAGCCAAAAATATTCTCAGCAGGTGCAACATCTGTGGCTGTAAGACCATGCTGTTCGTATCCCAAACTGATGTAAATACTAAGCTATGAAGTTCTAAAACACACATAATGGAATCAGTGATAGAGAAGCAGCCGTGTTAATCTGGTCTAGCTGAAACAAAAGACAGGACTATGCAGCACTTTAAAGACTAACAAGATGGTTTATTAGTGATGAGCTTTCATGGGAGTGGCTCTAGCCCACGAAATATCACCTCATAAACCATTTTCTTAGTCTTTAAAGTGCTGCATAGTCCTGTCTTTTGTTTCATAATGGAATCAGTGGTTTGTAAAAGTTGTATGCATAAAAGGAAACAACAAGGAGTCTGGTGTACATTAAAAATTTAACAAATGTATTAGTGCTTTAGGGCATAAGCTTTTGTACAGCATGGTGTCAGCCTGTGGAACTCAATGCTTCAGGAGAACGTGTAATCAAATACTCTAGCTGAATTTTCAGTCAGGGATGAATAATTTTAAGACCATCAGTATTCTCAATTATGAGGTGATGGAGCTACGGAAATCATACATTACAGGACATAGAGGTTAAGAAATAATTTCCCTCACTTCCTCACTAGAGGCCATCGCATATTGGGCATGGTAAATATCAGAGATTGCTGTAGCCAGCAAAAGGATATTGGACATTATGGGACAGTGACGCAACCTGCTACAGTGCATCCTGTTCTGCTCGAGTAAGCCCAACTGTCGAGGCTGAGTATTTTGTCATGTGATTTGGATTCCTTAATGTTGCACTCTGCTCTATAAAGTCTTTGACTGACTACAGGATTCAAGCAAGTGCGAACTGCAACATTCAAACAGAGTAGTGTTCAAATACATCAGTTTATTGAATTTTCTTTTACGCCATTTTCTATCTATTTAGTTGTCAAATGTTTTAAAGCGGCTTGGGATGATGATTTGCGAGAATTTGCTCTCAATCCACATTTTAATATTTTACATGAAGTCTGAAAATACAATTATTGCAATTGTAGCAATAGTATTAAAATAACATCTAGGGTCCCAAAGTGAGATCAGGGCCTCCTTGTGCTGGGCACTGTACAGACATGGTAAAAGACTAACTCTGTCCCAAAAAGCTTCTATTTAATTTACAGATAGGAAATAGAGGCGCTGAGAGACTAAGGCTACATCTGCACTGCATCCCACTTGCTCAAAAGCCTGTGCAAAAGAAGCGCAGATTAGCATATTGCCACGCTTCATTTGTATAATTAATTAGGGGGCATTTTTTGCACAAGAGGCTTTTGCGCAAAAAGGAGCCGTCTACATAGCTCCCTTTTGCGTCAAACCACCCTCTTGTGCCAAAACGGCCCCTAATTAATTATGCAAATGAAGTGCTGCACTATGCTAATCCGCACTTCATTTGCATAGGCTTTTGCACAAGAGGGATGCAGTGTAGACGTAGCCTAAGTGATTTGCCTAAGGTGATATGGGGAGTCTATTGCAGAGCAGGGGGTTGAACTGAGGTCTCCTGAATTCCAGTTCAATGTGTTAACCACAAGAATATCCTTCCTCTTAAGGCACAGGAAATAGCCCTGGGATCAGATGACAACCAGCAGAGGAATTATAAAGAATTAATGAGACTCAAGTATGTCTCTTTGAATTTTCTGTAGATGGGGAGGAAAATCAAGGAAAAGCTGTAGTTGTTTTTGGCAGGGAGGCTCACAGGGTGCATACTTGTGGTAGAGGGTTAAACTGATGCGTTACTCTGTGATGGAACAAAAGCACACAATACAATACATTAGATACACAGAGTGGTTAAACACAGCCTATGTAATGAAGCCCCTGAGACTTGTCATGCTGTATTACAGATACAAAGAAAGGCAAAGAGCAGACTTCCCTCTGCATATTGGTTTTGCTGTGGCTGCCAAACGTTTGTTTTCCTGGATAGCTTGAATATATATTTATATATTTGTTTCAGAATCTTACCACACATAAACCAGGTCCTTGTTCTTTCACCACAGCTGATAAATGGGAATAAAAATGTGTTTGCCTAGCATGATAACATCCCTCCCTAGAGACTAGTGGTTACAACTTCACAGCCTCCAGACGAAAACTGTCTCAGTGCCAGAATGCTCAGCACTGATTCAAGTTTGCCCTGGGGGAGGCCTTTCTCTGGCAGTGGTTAAATTAGGAATGTTAAAGCTTTCTAATACATATGAGGCAGTCGATAGATTTGTTTTAAAATCAATGTTCACAGTGATGTTGGCGAGATCAGCCTAGTTCTTCCAGCCACACCCTCTTAATTTAAAACCCAACTGAATTCCATTTCTTTTCTGTTTAGCTGTGGACAGTATAAAAATTAACCAGGCAGCTATCAACATATAGGAAATTTTGTTCGTCTCTAAGGTGCCACAGGACTACTCATTGTTTTTAAAGTTACAGACTAACACGGCTGCCCCTCTGACACTATTGCCGCTCATAGTGAAATTACACTAGTGCTAAACCAACATTGGGTAAAAGTGCTCATGCCCTTAATATAAATGGGTTCAGTCTGCTAATCTGCTTGGAATTCCACAATTATTACCTAGCCAGATAGGTGTTAAATACCACATTCCAAAGGGATTATCACTTTCCCCTCCTCCTCTGCTCTTACTGATTGGGGACAAAAAGATAAATTGTTTCTACCCCATGAAGGGAAGGAATGGAGAGGAATTCCTGGCTCCTAGTCTTGCTGCAGCTGCTTTCTGAGATTATAAAGAGAGATGGTTTTGTTGCAGCTGCTCACTTTTGGAAGTGATTTGGCCTTCCAAGCGGCCCCATCTCCATCATGCCTGCCTGCCAGTGTTGTTACCAATGTTAGGCTTTCGGTGGGTACGTGCTGGAAATGTTCAGTGCTGAGATAGCCTTTAGTTGAAAGAAAGTTTTGAAACTCTCCTGAGTTCCACAGCACATGCCTGGTCTTATCGTTTAGCCTGGTCAGGACAACAGTGTGCTAGAGGCCAGGATTGTACACTTCAAAAGTAAATGAAGGCATTTTAGTACATGCTCTGAGTGTCATGGAAAGGTCTAAAAAGTCTCAGAGAGTTAGCCATGGTAGTCTATAATAACTTTAAAAACAACAGGCAGTCCTATGGCACCTTAGAGACTTGCAAACCCCATGTCTTCAGATGAGTTTGAGTGGAGAAAAAAGGCGAACATGTTCCCCTTTTTTCTTCACTATGAAAAGGTCTGTGCAAATATGCAAAGTGTAACACCAATGGGTAGACTCAAACCTGGGACTTCAATGCATGAGCCTTTACTGCATGAGCTAAAAGCCAGCTGGCTGTTAGCAAAGGGTGTAAAGCAGATTCATTCTCTCTCTGTAAGTGGTCTCAGAGACACTAGACACAACAATATCACACCCAGAAGGCATGGATTATAAAAATAAATGTGAATTTGCGGGGAGGGGGGATTCATGAGTCCCACAAATGAATCCCCTTTATGCCCTTGACTACAGCCCCAATTTCTTTTAACGGTCTTCATTGACCTTCCTGTTTAAACAGGAACAATGCATAGATTTGCAAAGCGGTTTTGTCAGTGTCAGTACGGTTAAACAGTCCACAGATTTATTGAGTCATTGACTCTATCTGACCCATTTTATTTACTCCTGCAGTCTTCTGGCTCTAATTTAATTGTTTCCATGCCTCTGACAGAGGAGCAGCTAGTGCCGTGAATTGCACATCTGTTTCAAAGATGCACACGAAGGAATCACCTTCATAATAGGCATTTAGACGCAGCTTCCTGGAAGAGGCTGCTTAAAAAAAAAAAAACATGCATCTTAATATTGTAGCTATGAGACCAAGATCCATTTGAACCGCCTTCATCCATGTGTCTGTGATCTAGGAACACCTATGGTTCGGACACTCACAATGGCCCTTACAGACCCCATCTTTGTACATGCACACCCACGCTCCTTATCTCCCTCCCACACCCTGCAGCCGCAGCATCAATA